GGCAGGGGGATGGAATAAGATGACCTTTACCTTTGTGGTCCCTTCCAACACAAACCATTCTCTGATTCTATGAAATGGCCACTGGTGAAAACACCAGCAACAAGATCAGATAGTTCTTATTTTCTTTGGAAGCTAATCTTAAAAAGTTTTTCTTTGACTTTTATTAAGTGGATTGGGATGACTTTTGATGTTGGTGAGAAAAATTAATTTAATAGTCCAAGCTAAGTTTGGGTAACAGCAGCAAACACTATCCAGGTATCTCTGCTTTATCTGTTTCTACCCAGATATTTGACAACACAAATTTAAAAGGCATCTGTGCATGAATTATGATCTACTTTTATATTAACTAAAGAACTGGCCATAGTGATAACAGTAATCATGGATAAAAATTACTGTGTGCCTGTTTCACTTAGAGCATGAATAATTTATTATAGCTTTTTTTAATTTAACCCTGTTCTGCTGTGCATTACATTGACATGAACAAGATGAAAAATGATGTACCAAATCAAGGGTCTTCTTCATGTCATAGTTTCAATGCTACTGTTTTAAAAAAGAACAACAAAAAAAAAAACTTGAAAAATCACGAATGGAATTTCTCATGATCTGTTTTCTGTTATGCTGTTCAGTGCCAGCAGTGGCTCTAATGAAAGCTGATTTCATGGAATAATAGAAACAGAGGTTGATTTGGGTGGGAAGGGGCCCTAAAGGTCTAATTCCAGCCTCCCTGCCATGGAGAGGGACACCTCCACTAGACCAAGTTTCCTCATTTTTTGATAATTTTTGCCATCCTGGCTGCCTCTGGAAAGGAATCTGTTATTTGCACAGTCCCTTCTGTGTTCTCCAGCTGCAAACTGGAGCTGGAATGGGGCATTTCCAATGAGTTTGCATCTGTCAGAAACACAGTGATAACTGCATAAAGCATCTGAGTGACACCCCAAACCAGTGCTGACATTTCAAGTTTGTGCTTGTCACCTAGTGTTAAAGCACCACTACTGGTTTTGCCATTTTATTTCACTTTTATAGCTTTAAAAAAAAAAAAAAATTATAACGCACAAGCTGCCTGACCTTTCTCTTTAGAGTGGTCACTGAATCATCAAGCAATGAATATCCCACACCCCCATCCTCTTCCTTAGGATGCCAGCACTTCTGAGAAGGTGAAAGGGAAGCATTAGGAAAGCTTGGCTCTGTCCTGTCATGTTGCCTTAGTGTGACATGAAATTCTGTGACATGTGACATTAAAAAAGGTCACTTTGACAACATGACTACTGGAATGCCAGCACATTGTTCACTACTGCTGGTAAATAAATGGCAAATCATTTTATTTGCCTGCAATAGCAACTAAATATTAAAATATAGCTGCAACTAAAAATTAAAATATTTCCCTTTTCCCTTGTAATTAATTCAGTTTTATGACCTTGTGGAGTTTTAAAACTGTGGCGCTTCTCCAGCTTCCCTCCAATTTCTTCCTTATGGGATTTACTTTCAATGAGGTTTGTTTTGTTTATTTTTAGAGGATTTCTTTAATCTTTTGATGATTTCCATATTCTATCTTACTATACTGACCAGACAAAGAAGTAAAATTGCATTTTTAGTAAATTTAAAAGAGGGAGAAAGGTAAGGAATGGATGTTAGAAAGGCCCAAATCTTATCTTTGAAGAATTATCAGCATTTTCATTTATCAGCTGAAAGCCACACTGATCTGACAGAGGCTCTAGAACATACCACAGAAGCCAAATATATATATTATATATATATATATATATACAAATACAGAGAGAGAGAGAATATTTGTGGCACTGTAACTTTGTCATGAACATTAACAGAAGAACATAAAACTCAAAAGATGTAGGTTCTAGCTCACAATAACAGCCCAGTTGCCATCTCCCAAATATTTTAGAGGTGTGCAGAGCTAATTAGCAGACACAAGGAAAAATAAAGGGTTATGTGAAATTTTAAATTCTCAAAATCCAAGAGTAGAATTTTTTTTAATATTGTTATTAAATATCTTAACTGAGTTCTCAGAGGTGTAAACCAGGAAAACACTGATGCTCAGCCACCATTCTAGGAAATGAATATAACAATTTCCGTGCACCCCTCTGTGTCCAAAAAGCAAACTGAGTAAAGAATTTGTACTCAGATGTGCTCTGAAAGGAACATTTCAAAAAGAATTCAGCCAAATGGCAAAGCAAGCCCAAAAAAGAAAAAAATACTTCCTGAATTCCAGAATCTCTCCCTCACATTTATATTCAGCTCACTGCTCCGGCACATTTTTTTAATCTGTTCCTTAGACTTTCACTGAGACAATTCATAATTGTTAACATAACTGCCTAAAGCCTTTTAGGTGTAAATCAGTAAGCAATGAAGTGAGGTGGAAAAGCAGCTTCCCTGCAACAGATGCGTGCTTGAAAATGAGGTGATAATAGGTAAAAAGGTATTAGGAAGACTAATGACATACAATAACAAGCCTGTCTAATTGTGAAGATTTAATTAAAGCAGAGCTGCTGTGATGCTGATGCAGTTGTTAAGAGACTGGATTTCTGTCAGACCAAGATGCTGTTTTAGAGCAATATCATCCAGACCTTTACAAAGTCTTTAAAAAGGTCTAGATCCCAGCATGTCATAAAAATGTTTTAATCTATGTGTTTACTTCAGGTTGAAGTAGAGTTGCAAAAAAAAAAAAAAGGTTATTTCTGAGGTGCTTCAGCAGCACAGTATTTGTTAAATCCTTGCTGTTCTGCAAAGCATTTATTGTCTGAAAATTTTGTAAACAAGATTGCAGGAACGATGAAAAAGCTGGATGAGTGACAAGCTGCAAAACACACAACAACATCTTATTATAAGGTTAGGTGGCTTGTGACAACTCCAAAGGTGCTCTCAGCTCTTTCTCACTGAATTATATTTGCAACTGTAGCTAGCACCATATGCTATTTGGCATTAGCCAAGATGTGTTAGACACCAGAACCAGACTTCTGAGAGAGGGATGGAGAGAGCAGATTTCTCCTGAGGCTCCTTGAACCAGAAGTGAAAACCTAAAACCTCTTTTCAATAATTCCTAATAATTTAGAGTAG